TTAAAAAAATGTATTGAGCTGTTTTATTTTAACTTTTTTATTATTAGTATATTCATTCTTACAAATCATGATATACCTGCACTTCCATGTTCATTGCAGCTCTGTTTACAATAGCTAAAATCATCATGTTGAAGAGAAATCTATAACCCTATGTTTATTGCAGCTGTATTTACAATAGGCTATGGAACCAACCTAAGTGTCCACTGATGGATGACTTGATAAAGAAAATGTGGTATATATACACACTGGAACACTATTCAGACATAAAAACGAATGAAATTCTGCCATTTGCAGTAACATGGATGAGTCTGGAGAAAATTACGTTAAATGAAATAAGCCAGACAAAGAAACAGAAATACCACGTTCTCACTCATAACTGATTGCTAGGAAAGAAGGGAGGGAGAAAGGAAGGAATGGAGGAAAGAAAGAAAAAAAGACCACAACAATATGTTGAACTTTCAGAAGAAGAAAATAAACCTAAGGATACTAAAGATGGGGAGGAGGAAGGAAGGGGGTTGGGGAAGTGATAGGTAGAGCTGCTTTTTAAAGGTAGAGAATAGTTTCTTAAAATTCAGTTCCCCAGTTGGACTAGGCCATCATGGGGCCAGGACCTGGGTCCCCACATGACTTCTTGTTCTAAGTGTGCTCCTTCTCAGCTCTCGGTCAGGAAGAACCAAAACCATAACAATAGAAGCTACTAGTTGTTAAGCATTGACTTTGCACCAGGAGGCCTAAACAGATCATCTCAGAGAAAGCTTGGCAATGAAACCATCCACCTTACAGATGAGAAAACCAAGACTTGAGAGGTTACAGAATGGTCCAAATTCACTCAGCTGATCCGTGGCAGAATGGAGCCCAGTCTGTCTGACACCAAAGCCTGGATTTTGGTTTACAAAATTTTAGAGTATGAGAATCTCTTTCTAACATCAAAAATTTTTGTGGGCTCCCATATAATGTCAGTTTTATTTTTAGTAACTTTTGATAGACAGTAGCACATCTGATGACAAAATTCTATTATGACAGCAGTAATCCTTTTAAATGGCTTTGTAAGTGGATTGTCCCCCAAAGCACTGTCGTATAGAAGTACTTATACACTTGACACACATTGAGTGTTTAGGCTACAGACAATGCCGAGTGGCACTCAGGTCTAGAACCTGATCCCTGTGCTGTCCCCTGGGAGAGCCACTGCTCCAGGCCACAGAAGGTTGTCTGAGTTGGTCAGCAATCCTCCACAACCCTGTGCCCTCGGCCTCTACATTTCACCCTCACCTGAACTCCATCCCGTGAGAAGCTGGTCCTGTGAACAGCACCTTGATGACTCGGCCCCTCCTCAGCTGATACCATCAGCTCTGTCCCACTGCCACTCCTCTCCCCAGCTGCCCAATACACTTGGCCCCCGAACGCTGCTCTCGAGAGCTGCTCTTCTTCCCAGCAATCTTCACATCTTCCTTCAGCCATTTACCTGCCATTACTTTCCCCATAGCCTGTTTGGTCCAAGTCCTGTGTGCCTTGTTACAGCTCCTGCTAGGCCTCTGCGTTCTACCTGTCACTCTGTTATCTACACCTTACAGGTGTGTGTTTTAACGGCGTTACAGCCTTCTGGAGGAGGGAGCTACTTGGCAGGAGAAATGAGGGGGACTTGCGTGAGAAGGGTACAAGTGCAAGCAGCACAGCAGAGGCGTGGCGGGCCTGGGGGGCGTGGGGAGGGTCCAGGATGAGCTGTCAGCATGGGGGCAGATGAGAGGTTGACATGTGGTGATACACTTTGACTTAGCATCTTAAAGAGGATGATTTTCCCTCATGACTCATCGTCTTTAATTATGTCCTGTTTCTTCTTAGAAAAATAATGATATGAACAAAAGTTTGAAAAATGCAGTGGATTATATTTTTAAAAACCAGTGATTATTTCGCCTTAGATTGACAAATGCAAAGTGACTCAGGCTGTTTGTGCTTTTCATCCTAACACAGTGACATCTCAATACTTGGAAAAATTAAGACGACCAGCTCCTTTGTACTTCTCAAAGTACATTTGATATCACACAGCTGTTTTTCCTGCTTTACAGACATTCAGGTTTTATTTCAATCCCAATATTCCAAATTAATAAAAGTTTGACCATTTTGCAGTTCATCAAAAATAAAAAATGCTGTCATTACATGCAATTTTTAATTTAATTTCATTAGTCCAAAGAAAGTGTTCATGGTTTTGAACTAATTTCAGTCCTTCACTTACACATTTTTCAAATACATATAAATCTGTGAGTTATGTCCCACAAACAGCCCAGTACTAAATAATCACTAAGCTTAATTGATTTCCAACAGAAATTCCCCACATTCAAAAAAAAGACAGACAGAAACTATCCCACATGTACCTTAATGCCTTTGGTATCCTCTTCATCAAATGAGCCGATATCAAAGGCATCTGCAGCATTGACTTCGCCCCGGGGAGGAATCAGGGGTGGCGGGTACTGGAAGATCCAAAGAAGTATGGTATGGTTATCAGCTGACCTTTACAGCCCCTCCCAACCTAATGTTCTATAAAAAGAACACAGTGCGAGACATCAACAAGCCACCTCTGTGCAGCACTGCATTCAAGCTCATACATGTCACATTGCATATCTCACATAAGAGCCTTTGCATTGAACAGCTACCAGGGAAGACCCCAGATTTTGAACAAATTCAAGAAACAAAAAAGACTATGACCAAAGTCTCAAACAATTTTTAAATGTAACAAAGTCTCAAGACTGCATATCCCCCCAGCTCAGCCTTGAGAAAGCACGTTCTCTTGGACGATGCAGCACCACCTTCCAGGTGCTGGACTGCAGCACACAGGAGGGCCAGACAGAGCGCTGCGCACCTGCCAACATCCCGAGGTCAGTGCTGACCAAAGAAGTGCCTGAGCTCTAATTCTTTTTAGGCAGGACTGACAGAGTAGTCTCTCTTTGCTACAGAAAATCATCATTCCTCTGCAGCCTGAGTTCATGTGAAAAGTAGTCCAAAGCTGATAATTGACATTTAAAAAAAAAATTAATTTGGGTGTTTCTTGTATTAATGTGAATACAATAAAGTTTAAAATAAAAAAGGAGAATTATGCTGATTTAAAATCATGCTATTTCTTAAATTATGTGGTACTGGGCTAGAAAATATATGTGAGTCCATGACAAAAGTTTCTTGCACATTTTTATATAGATCTGTGTAAAAAATACAGTTACAAATTGAGGTAAGAATTTAAGAAGATGAGTTAAAACTTAAAAAAAAGACATTTGAATTAGCTAGATAACAGCTCCATTTCATCACTTATTAATTTATATACAAGATATTTTCAAAATTGTTACACCAGGGAAATGACAAGGGAGAAGCCACCCCAAAAGGAGTTAGCCATATAGTAACACTTAGGTTAGAAGAGCAATGTGGACTCAGGAATCTGGAGCAAGGACCCCGAGGGGACAGAACCAGGAAGCCATGCGTGGGGGTACAGGGAAGGAGACAAGAGTGTAGAGACGGTGGTACCCGGAGCGCAGTCCCAGAGGGAGTGCGTACCTTTTGTAAGTAGACATGCTGCCACTCGATGCCTTTGAAAAAGCCATGCTCTTTTACTTCCTGTGCCCTGGAGAAGAAAGAGTCATAACAGTGGTAGGCATGCAATAGAAATAAAAAAATATTTCGCAAAAATTGTCTCCTGTTAACATAGAGGGATTATTTCCCGATCTTCAAGAAAGCAGGTAAAATAAGGTGCTTTCAAAGCAACACAAGAAACGCTGTGATGTTCAGAAATACTGCATGCTGAACCTAGGAATACTATCTCATATGATCATTTATTTGGGATTTTCATTCCAGTTTAAGAAAACCTAGGAGTTTTCACAGATATGTTTGTGTGCATATATGTGTATGTATGTATCATCTATGTATACATATGTGATAATTCTGTAGTCATGAGAACATAATTTAAATAAGAATTAAATAGGAGATCTACACATTAAAAAGATTTATGGCAAATGTCTACAAGCTACTTCTTACAGTCTGTAATCATCTCATTCATTTGATAGATTCTATACTGTTGGCCTCCCCTGCCACAGTATGAGCTATGAGAAGAGGGGCTGTGTCCACCTTGCACACGGCCTCAGCCCCACACTTAGGATGGTGTCTGCTCTCAGCGCGTGCTCAGTAAACATTCACTGAACGAACAGATGGAATCCGAGTCAAGGGCATCCCTTTGCATTCTCACCAGAAACACTTGGGAGATGTTCTTATTCTGCTCCATTTTGTGCCCATCATTGTCTGTCTACATGTTAAGGGCAGTAAGCTAAACGAGAAGTTTGCCTGCCTAGATCCAAGCAATTAAAAACACCTCAGAGAAAAGGCTTCTGGTTCAAGCCAGTGACTGGACATAAGAATGCAACTTTGCTCCTTCCCTCAATCATTGAGATGATAGCAGAGAAACATGGAGATATAACATTATATATACATGGAGATCACAAAGAGAGTGGGAGATGGCCAGCAGCAGACAAGAAGGGAGAGGACAGAGGGGCAGCAACTGATGGCACAGAGCAGCAGAGCCCCTGGAACAGAATCAGTATGCTGAGCTTCAACTTCAGGTGGGAGACCCAGGACTGAAACTTGGGGCATGGAACCCTTGACCTTAACGCACATATGCACATGCACCCATGCACACCCATGCACATATGCACACACACATGAACACTCTCACACACTACACTTCCTTCCCCCATATCCAGCCCCCAAACACTTGCAGCTAGGGGTTTATTCTAATAGGAGGGTTCTACTTTTAAAAAATTAAACCTGCTAAACATTATAAAAATAAATCAATAAAAGGGTTAGGAATTTAAACTATCAGAAAGTAAAACAAAGAATCAAAGCAAAAATGTGGATAATATACAAGATCAGGAGCCGAGAGGAACAATCTAGAAATCCCAATGTCCATCCACTAGGAGTTCAAAGAGAAACAGAGGAGAGGAAATGTTAAAGGAATAAAATAAGAGTATTCTCCAAGCTGAAGAACATGAGTCTTGGAGTGAAAAGGATTCTAAGTGCCTGACATAATGAGGGACAACCACATTCCATTTGATTGTACACATTAAAGCAATGTCTTCAAAGTTCTGGGGGGAAATTATTATTCATTTAGAATTTGATATCTAGCCTACATATCAATCAAGTTTGAGGACAGCAGGGAGACATTTTAGATATGTAAGAAGCTAGAACATTCACATCTCACAGTCCCTCTTCAAGGAGTTACCTGAGACCACGCTCTAGCCAAATACACAGGGAGACCCAGAAAAGCAGAAGGCAGGGAATCAAGTAAATGGCAGATTCAAACCAGGAGAGTAAAAAAGGGAAGTGGTGGATGGGATGATGCTGATTAGCAGAAATAGAGACAGCATCCAGTTCTTGGAGTTGGTTGAGTCCTCCATGAAAGAAAAATCAGGGAAAAATGAAAGTCCACAACTGTGATATATCTTTTGATATACATATATATACACAGTCATGCGCCACTTACTGATTCTGGTCAAGGATGGACACATATACAATGGTGGTTGGAGCAATAGCCTATACCATATAATAGCCTAGGTGTAGCAGGCTATACCGTCTAGGTTTCTGTAAGTACACTCTACATGTTCAAACAACAACGAAATCGCCTAATGATACATTTTCCAGAACATAACCCTGTTGTTAAGTGATGCGTGACTGTATATATCTTACATATTATATATATACACACACACATATGATCATGTCATATATTTCATATATGATATACATACAAAACAAGACTAAGCAGATACTATGTAATGAATGTTATGTTGCCACGATAGTGTAAATACTACTATTTAATTTACAACTTTTGAAATCAACCCATGTGTAAACCTCAAAGATTGACTATGATCGATTATGAATGTAAAATAGGAAGTAAATAGTATCAACTTGATATAAAAATGAAAATTAACACGTTTTGCTTTCCAGGTAAAGATACAAAAAGGGAGAAACAATGGCCTACCCGCCTCCTTGACAGCCCAGCCGCTTACTAACGTCTCTCTGGAGCAAGCCCTCCAAAAGGGACTTTAGTTCAGGGGAGAAGGTATCTGGAAGTTCCACATTCTGGGGAAAAGAAGGGTGAGATATCAAAAAATCCACTCATGGAAACAGTGCCCTCCCCCCAACCAGATTTAAAGGCTGTGTCTTGAATAAGAATAGTATTAAAAATTACATATTCATTATGAATTAATGTTTATTCCAAAGAAACATAAAAATATTACTAATCAGTGTCAAAATCAATTAATAGGCTGGGGCCAGGTCAGAAGAACTGGAAGGCCTCTTTACTAGTCTGCATCACAGTAAATTCTCCTTTGATTTGATTTTTTCACCTATGTTCTCAATTTTTTATATCTTCTCATACTGATTGCTAGCAAATCTTGATTTTTGCCTTGGAATCTATTTCCATTCATGTTTTTTAGAAATTCTTCTAAGAATTGTATCTTCATTTATTTATTTCAAAAAAACAATTTTTTATTATTTTCATATTTATATATTATACATAATATTTCTGTATTTTATATTTTATATATTTACATAATATTTTGTATTATAGCACTTTTATTATTAATGGAATGAAACATGAAAATTGTAATGCAAATAAGAACACAGTTTTTAAACCCGCTTACCACAGTAAGGGTCATTCGGTCTATCTCATGCTTATCTTTGGTTTTATGTTGTCTGAAAGGGCTGTGACTGTAAAAATAAAAAACATTCTATTAAAATATGGCATCAGGTAACTTAGCACATATCACTGGCTAATATTTGGGAAAATACTGTGTCCTGTCATTGTTCGTTCAAAACTACAGCAAAACTACAGAAATGCAAAATCCATAAATGTTTATAATTTCCAGAGAAAAACTGGTGACCAAATATACTGAGTCTGGAAAGAGCAAGTTGTAACATCTTATTTGAACTGCCTCATCTTCAGTTCAATGAAACTGTGCTGCTAAAATATACTTTTCCAATTAAGATACCATTAGAAAAAAATAAATATAATTAGCCAACAGGTAGTTATGAAAATGGAAGTCATTTATACAACATTTGTCACAAGTGTTTGAGCTAACAATAACCATTATTGTATTTTGATACAATTTTCCAGCAAAGTAGAAATTGGTCACTTAAGACATCCCAAGGAACTGCAGTCAAACCAAAACATGATCACAGTGAACACGATTCACCTATAGAAACCAGTAATTTTAAGCAATGCATTCCTTTGATGGTAACAGAGACCAACTGATCATGCTTTCTCATGTTTACCTATGCAGAGCCCAGAAAAGGTGGGTTCGAGCTGTGATGTGGCTGCTTACTGGCTGTGAGCCAGATTTAAGCCTTCAGTATCAATTTGTGTACCTGTAAAACAGGGTTCCTGCCACATACTTCACAGAAGTGGTGAAGGAGAAAATTAAAATGTCTATGCAAGTAGCCAAGATAATGGCAGTATACAGTAGGTACCTAATATAGCAATCATTTGTGAAGTTAATAAAGATGATTCTTACTTTATAAAATTAATGCCCACTTAATAAATTATGTAAAACAGATTATTCTTACTCTTTATCATGTTTTTAAAACTCTGGAGAAGATGGCTTTTAAAGGAAACTTTATCACTAAAAGATATTATAAAATATGCAAATCAGAACACCATGGCCTTATTTATTTATTTGAAAATTTAAGGGATATATCTGATTGAGTTTTCTTACAGAAAGACATACCTTTAAAGTGACTAATCCTATAAATTCATTTATAAGGCACATATGACATAATCTGAGGCAAAATATCATGCAAAATATTCTAATTTTAACTCCATAAAATGGATTAGAATGTTGAACACACAAATCAATGAGATTATAAAAAAGAATTAAAATTCTACTTCTCCTGCATTGCTTCTTACTGCTACTGAGCTGGCCACCCTACTGAATTAGTTAAATGATGCATTGAGCCATCTCTGGCAGAGATTATCACATTTTAGAGCATTTATTATCTTAAACACTTTAATTTTCTTTTTGTACAAGAGAGGGCGCTCTAATGCTTTATTTTCTTCCTTATAATGCAGTGAACTACCAAGTAATTTCCATCTCTTAAAAGCATTAATTTGAAAATAATAATTAAAACAAGGAAAATTAGCACCAAACAAGCATGTGCTAATCTTTAAAATAGATTTTGATTGGAAATAATCTTTTCACCTTGTTTCCAAGGAGAAAAATGTACAATTACTGCATTTAAAAAGCAAATAGGATATAAAAACAAATAATATGTTATTTATAAAATGTTATAATTTTTTAAAACATCATACTTGTATCATCTTTTATAAAAAAAATCTACACAAATATTAACATGTTTACAATCCCAAAGAAAAGGAATCAAAGTTTATTACATTTTATTAAAACCTTAGTCTTCCTGCTTGACAGAGCTATTTCCACCCCACAGTGTTCCTTAATGTATAAAAATGAATTAAGTGAAGATCTTGTGTTTTGGCAAATCCTTCTGACTTGGTTCCTGTGTGCAAAGCCAAAGGATCCCACTTCTGCCCTTGGACCTCCATTCTTGCCTGCACTTGACCCCTGTCCTTGCTTGCATCTGATGCCGGAAGGAAAGGGCTGTGCCCTGACTTTGCAGAAAAGGCCTGCTGTGTTCTGACACAAACGCTCTGTGCTAAATTTAACGTCTTTCATGAGACCACAGGGAGGCTTGTAAGGGGACTGGAGTTAAAGTTAGTGATGCTAAAAACATTTCCAACACATGGGCCCTATCACTGCAAATCTCACTTATAAATATAGCGACTCCATGTCCAACTCAATAAGAAACTATCGGAAAATGATTTTCAGCTATTCAATTCTATGCTGCAGTGTTGAGAAAGTTTGGTCTTTTAAGTCAAAATCTTGATGCACATCTGTTTCCAATGTATTCTTGATTATTCTTTGTGAACAAAGCCAAAGACTGGGTTTCTATTTTGGAAAATGTTAAAGAAAACCTACGATAGTAATAATCTCCATTCTGAGTGAGGCACGTGGTGCTCACAGATCCTGTGTGATCACAGCTGTTCCCTGGTGCAGCTGCTTTAAATAGGAGACAGTAACAGGCCTGTCAACAGCTTCCAACGCAGAGCCAAGTCCTCCCAACACAACATGCAACATTCTGGCTGCATCGGGAATGTTGTGGGAACAGAATTCACAAGGGCAGTGGTCAAGTGCAGCTTTCTGAATTCCAGACTGAGATAGCCACACATTTCCCCCAAACAAGCTGGGAAATCACTCAAGATATCATAAATTATGGGGAAACACACACACATACCACATTAGATATATCATATTCACAGGGAAACAATACATTTATAATTACAACTGATTAAAAACTCTCATACCAAATATTAATTTTAGACTACCAAAAAGATTGCATGTTACATTAAATATGCATTTTGAACCTAAGCCAATAGCTTTCACAATATTTATAAACATTCCTACTTTCCCTACATGGAACAAACTCAATAACCACAGGCAGCACTCAACTCTCCCCAGGCTACCCCCCAGGCTGCTCCCTACTTCTGACACTTCCAGGGATAGATCATCAGTGGTGACAAGCTGAAGACTGAAGCCATTGTCACAACAATTCTTTTCCTTAACAGACATCTTAAATCTAGATTGAGGATCACAGCAGTCCCACACATTTGCAACATGGACACATCTTCATACACAGATGCTCTTAAATGTCTGACCAAGTCATCTTAAATGTCAGTAGTGACCAGCACCCAAAAATATTGCATATAAAAGGCTCAGTTCATCACTGTGAGTCCAGGAAGGCAAAACACCTTTCCAAGCCTTGCCAACTTTTTCCACCCAGATTCCTTCTCCAAATGCCTTGCAGTATTCCCTTAGGGAGTCAAGACAAAATAAGGGGTGTAGAAAAGTGTTTCAGCAGAAGCAATGGGGCACTTTGGTCAGTGCAAAGAGCATTAAACCACAAAAAATAAAAGTGAAAGACACTTGATGACAACTGGCTTGACGTTAATTCACAGATATGGAAAGGAGGGAGAAGAGACTTGCTCTAGAGCAGCGTTTCTCAACCTCGGCACTGTTGACATTCGGGGCTGGGTAATTCTTTGCTGGGGTGGTTGGTGCTGCCCTGTGCACTGTAGGATGTTGAGCAGCATCCATGGCCTCTACCCACTAGATGCCAATAGCAGCCCCTCCCAACGTTATGACAACCAAAACTGTCTCCAGGCATTGCTAAGTACAGATGAAAGCTGAGTGGTCATAAGAGTATTAGGACACAGAGGGCACAGGCTGCTCCCAGGGCCAGCATGCAGGAGGCCCCACCAGGCCAGTGCTCTGTCTACTCAACCTCCTCTCAACTTGTTTCTGTTTCTTAGGCCCCTTGTGCCTGAGAAAAAAAACAGCTGCTAGGGGCTCCCTTTTATATAGCAAATGAAAAATGCATAGGATGCTCACAGACATAGCCTTGAGGTTTTCCCACGTGCGACTTTCTGAGGAATTAGAACAGGTGACAATATCCCCTCCTGTACAGCTGAGGCAATGAAGGCTCCTGTGCACAGTCCCACCCTCTGCTGACTCCATCACAGGGTTTTGCTTCTGAAAGGCCCTCAATAAACATTAGTTTAATTTGAACCACTGAAATTTTACAAGTATTGATTTTGGTAATAATATTACTATGCTCTCGATCATCTTGAATCTAGACCAGCACCATCTTTAACTCCTATCCTTCCATATCCAAGCATCTATTAAAAAAACCAAAAATACAAAAACAAACAAACAAAAAACCCTACAAAAACCTTGTACTGCTGATTCTACCTCTACAATACTGTCGTCATTCGCCCCCTTCCAGTCCCAGTGCCACTGGGCTAGCTCAAGCCCCAGGCTCTTACACCTGCCTCCCATTTCTGTCCTGCCAGTGTTCATGATGCTGCCAGGATCATCTCACTGAAAAACCACCCAACCTGTCACTGCTTTGCTGAAAAGTCTCTGGGGCCTCAAAAGTAAGGGCCAAACCCCACAGCATGGGATTCCAGGTCCTCCCCTGATCTTCCAGGCCTTTTCTCTCAGCCTCCATCCCCTCTTGAGAAACAGCTGACCCATCATTTGCTGGTCACTGACGGTGAACAACCTGCTCCTACTGTCCCCTCCACATGAAAAGCACATTTGTTCTCCATCCCATGTCTTTGTATTGTCATCTTTTCTCTGAAAGCCCATTTGACATACCATCTCCTACATGAGGTGGGGCCTGCTCTTCCAAGTTACAGTTGGTCTCCCACATCTGTGCTCCCCCAGCACGTCACTACGGCTCATCCAGCTCATAGCCCTGTGTGTTCGTCTCCACCTCTTCTCCTGGACTGCATCTTCCAGGACTGCATGAGGTGTGTTCACTTTCTCCTTCTCTTCTTCCCTCCCTCCTTTCCTTCCCTCTGATCCCTTTCCTTGCTTATTTCCTCCCTTCTTCCTTCCTTTCTTCCTTCTCCCACGGCATCAAGCACAGTCTCATGTATTGCAAGTACTCAATAAATGCTTATCAATTTTAATTTAAATCACTTAAGTCAAAAAGCACTTCGTGTTCTTTGATTTTAGCACTATAGTCCCTCTGATCCCTTTCCTTGCTTATTTCCTCCCTTCTTCCTTCCTTTCTTCCTTCTCCCACAGCATCAAGCACAGTCTCATGTATTACAAGTACTCAATAAATGCTTATCAATTTTAGTTTAAATCACTTAAGTCAAAAAGCACTTCATGTTCTTTGATTTTAGCACTATATCATATCCATGAACGACTTCTGAATAAGTGATTGAAAGAATGGCATAAGGTCATAAATCTTAGTGGGGAAGATTCATCAGATCCCATCTATCATACACTGAAAAGATTCTTCCTATTTCAGGCTCCATAAGTGATCACCAGACAGGGAACTTGCTATTTGTAAGGCAGAACGCTCCTTCACCGGGTAAATCAAATGTTTGAATGGACATTCTTGTATTAAACTGCAACCTTTTTCCTCCTTAAAATGCCCATCCTCTGGGGTTATACAGCATGAATACAACCCCTTCAATACGATGGCATTGCAGTAGCTGGAGACAGGCATCACAGCCCCCTAAGCTCTGTACCCAGCTCTTCCAACCTCTCCATGTGAGCCATAGTTTCTAGTAGCTCTTTCATCATCCTTTTCTCATCTCATCCCTCCCGTCCCAGCCTCAAAACCATCCTCCCAGTGTCTTTCTATCTGCCAAGACTTCTCTCAACAGGAGCCACACTGAACTTAATGCTTCAATCAAGCATGATCAAGGATTTCACAAGAGAATTAATATCTTCCAATTCAGTGCTCCAAACCTGAATTATGGCCAAATAGGGATGAATTCACTTTATCAGCCACAAATCACACTGTTGGATTATACAGACGTAAGAATGAAACAAAACCCTCCAACCTTCTAAAAATTAGTGTTATTCTAAATCCTCCCTCGCCAATATGCATGGACATTTTTACAAATAGAATAATAAAGTAGAAAAGTAAATAAAGCCCTAAATGCGAGGCTCTGCAGATTTCCCTGCTATATTTTACTGTTGATTTTTGCATTCCATGGCTTAGCTGCTGCACAGAGTTTACCATCCCCACATTCTATGAGTATGGATTCTACATCTCCACTTCCATCTCTAGCAGAGATCAAAGGCAAAGAGTGGCTCCACCAGGGGGAAAGTGTCTCTCATGGGAAATGCTTTCTCTGGTCTGCTTTGTATGAACTCTCTAATTAGGTCAGCTGGTCTGATGACATGAATTAAGGCCAACCAGGCTCCACAAATACAACAATTCAATTATGGAGTAACAGGACCTGACTCCCTAAGCAATAATATGATTTTTAGATCCCAAGTGAATAGGGTGGGCAGAGAACAAGGGGATGGATGACCGGAGTCCTGAGGAAACAGCGAGGGTTCTCAGAGCCTAGTTTTGTGGGAATATGGAATCCAGATTTTCTTCAGAATGCATGAAATAGAAGAAGATGCAGCGGTATTCACATAGGCTTCTGACAGAAATGAGACAAGTCTAGCCCACTGTGAGCAATGCGTTCATAGGAGGGATGTTGAAAGGAAAATCTTGACAAGGACATTTTCACGTGAAATGCTCTTTATGTCATTGTGAGTAAAGAATTAAAAAAAATTTAAACCTTAAGCTTTCCATTAAAATTGGCTAAAACGTCTTAATATTAATGGAAACATGAACATAATTGTTAAGTGTTCAGTATGAGAATATATTTTGAAAGCGCTTCCCTTTCCCAGTCTTTTCCACTCTATTTCATCACCTTTGGTGGTTTAGAACAAAGGTAAAGTACATAATATTAGGCTTTAAAAATACAAATTAATTTCAGCATGTTTACAAATAAATGCTTACTTTTAAGATGGGTTTACTTTCGGTCTTTATTCTTTTTTTGTAACCCTCAAAATGCTTTAAGCTCACAAGAGAATCATAAGTAACTAACTTCTAGGGCGGGAAAAGTGATCCTACCTTCTTCAGTTATCCACATTTTTAAACAATACTTATTCCCAGAACATGGCTTATCAATGGCAATATTTCAAAGCAGTCTTATTTTGGTTTTAAAAGTGTTGTGATTCCTACATGGTTTGGAACAAAAGTACTAAGCCATCAGCTTTTATCTATAAGCTTATGAGACAGCAGATCTCACTCTGATAAGACAGAACCACCATGGCCACCTCCCAGATTAGCATGTGGCTTAAAGATCACTGATCTAAAATAACATTAGGGTCTAGTCATTTCTAAATATTCTTGATTTGGATCCTGGAACAGGCCATGATGATGGTGCTAAAAGGACACATTTCACTCACCCTCTTAGAAGTTTGAAGAGCATGCAGCCCAGGGAGAACCAGTCGGCACTACTGTCATACGCAGTTCCCTTCTGCAGCACTTCGGGAGCCATGTACCCATGGGTGCCACTAGGGAGAAGAGAGTATACATGCAGTTATCAGAGCTTGCACACCTTATAAAATAATAACAGCTGGTCAAGAGGCTCAGGCATCACTCATCAGATGGCAGCAGCTGTAAACAAGGAGAGGGGACAATTGTGCTTCAGCACAACATGATCCACTGAACGTCCAGTGGGAAAACAACCTCTCCTGCCTTTTTTAACATGTGAATTAACATAAGTGAATTATCATATGAAATAAATATGAAAACTGTGAGTTTCAGAGTCTAGGAGGTGAAACCTGGATCTCATTAGACCTTCTGTACTCATCTATGAAGAGCTAAAGTTCTCCCACCCTTTCAAGAGCTCTTGTGTAGAGACGCATGGGGTTGGGGCAAGCAGGGGGTGGAAGGGGAAGAAGGAAAGGACAATGAACGGGCAACTATACCACAGATCTGTGGACCCTGAAGGCACGGGCACATCAGCTCCTGTGCAGTGCCACCACCGTGCTGAGAACCTGAGCTCACATGTGCTAAGGGTGGGGACTACCTGCTTGGTTGCGGTCGGTGATAGGCCCCACCAGCCCACAAGTACTTAAGATGGAGAGACCATATGTCAGGTTTTAAAAACTGCTAAAGGTCAAAAGACACAATGCTAACCAAATATGAAGGTGATTTTCAGGAAATTGAGAAAATCACTACAGCCATTTTATGTATAATTTGCACTACCTGCAATTTGAAAGCCCTTCCCATTCTGTGACTCTCCACCTGTCTTTGAGGAGCTGAGCATGTACTACTCCACCCTGAAGAGTGAGAGCAGCTCATGGAGAACTTCCAAGACACAGCCCAAAAGGGCCCTTCAAGAGCCCTTTCTATGGACGCCCCACAACCTCTTCATCCTTCATTGATTTTCCCCATCAATCAAGTGGGTAATAAGATAACACCTCCACCTCTCGGGGTTGCTGTGTGGATGCCGTGGGCTGAGAATAGCACTGGCTGATACGAAGAACTCAATCCACATTGGGGGTTTAAATCTCCACTCTTATCTTAGTCTAATCATTTCTTAACTTACTTATGCTCAGTAACTGAGAATCTGCTCAGAAAAATGATCTTGGATCACCACTAGGTCCAGGACTCTCTAACTAAGAGGTATATTTTGAAAGAGTTTTATCAAACAGTGAAAATGGGCACTGGTCCATCGAGGCAGGTCTAGCATTTGGGAAGCTCTATCATCTGAAACTTAAAGTGTGACAGTGTGAGGTCATCGAGCCATGCTGTGAGAGCACCAGAGCTTTCTATGAGGAGCATCCAAACCATTTTCTGGGAAGGTTTAATTTCAGTCTTGCCTGGAAAGCCCTTGGTAGTGACCTTTTAATCTTTAATTCTCAGGATTAAATCACAATTCTGGAATGGAAAGATATCTACAAGAATAAGTAAAATACGTTAATGCAAATCAGATCTCCAAGCTTACATTAGACAAAATTAAAGTTACATGCCGAACTGCCTGCTGCTGTGGTTTTCCGATTCTGCCTACATGGCAGCTACTAATGCTTCCTAACCCATTCCACTAAAGATTTGTACTATTAATACTGAAAGAACACCTGAATGTTTTAAGACACTGTGGCCAGAGACACAGCTTTGTGTTCTTAGATAAAATAAGCTAGTACTCAAATTAGTCACTGACCATCTGTTCAATTCCAAGAGTTGTCCTTCGATTTTTCATGGCTACTCCACAGTTAACTTCTAGCTCATGATAATTTGTGATTCTGTCATTAAATGGATTAAATTTAAGTTCAAATCAGGAACCCCAACCTAACACTACTTTGTAGATGGGCTGGCTGCTAGATGAAGTCCAAAGATCACATCTACAGCTTTGAAAAGATCTGAGAAATGAAGTTCAGGTTGAAATTCTGGCCAAAATTCTTTAATCTAGTACTAAGTAGATCATTTCAAAGCCTCAGGGAGTTCACCCATATAGTGTGAAGAGTACAGGCTTTGTAATCAGACAGAATTAGATTGCAATTCTAGTTCCACAGTGTGCCAGCTATGTGACTTTGTTCAAGTTACTTAATTTCTCTGAACCCCAATTTCTATACCATAAAAAGTAGATACTAATATCTATAATTTATGGGGTTTCTGTGAAAATAACATTTTCAAAGCATCTAGCTTAGCATGCCTGGGACAGCACAGCTGACCTTCACCTAATAACACAGTGACTGCTCCCTGCACCGCCACTTCAACACACACTAGCACTTAATGGACATAGTTCCCCAGGCTGCTGGTTCCAGGAGGTCAGGGATTGGGTCTGTTGTACTGACTGCAGCATTACCAGCACCCAGCACACAGCAAATGGTAAATACTTGTTGGATTAATTAGTTGACCTAACCCTTGTAACTATCACATGAAGTAAGCATCATTGTTATCTCCTCTATAGAGAAGAGAAAAATGAGGCTTATACAACTTAGAAGAGAAACTCAAACCCAGATCTGTTGACTCCATAGCCTTTGTTCTTAGCCCCCAAAATGCCTCCTTTATCTAAAAATATAGTATTTCATTGTGCATTTATCTTTTCTAAGCAGTGGCCTCACTATCATCATTTAAACATGGAAACCAACCTTCTCAATCCTGCCCCTTTACAGATGCTGTTCAAATACCGTGCTTTCCAGAGCAGGCAAAGAACAGCCCACTGCTCAGAGCTGACAGGGATTACAGTCAAGTGGGCTAGGCCCTATAAAGAAATAACCCCATATCTGAAAGTTAATTCCTTTGGAAGATTATCTCTTATAAACTCTTGAATTCATATTTAGTTATGACCATACAAAATTGAAGAAATTAGCATACCAAATAGATGTGGCATTAAAAATTCAAAGGACTCTTAAAAATGCCTGATGCACTCCCTGAGAGAAGCTTATACAACCACAGGTTCTGGCATAATAACTGTAAAGTGCTAGCAAAATGCTAATGCTTTTATCACCATATCCCAGGTTCTGTAGAAAAAGAGAAATATGTTTACAGAAATGGTGCTATTCACTGTTAACATTTGATCAGAGCTTTAAAAGACAATTCTGATTTAATACAGTCCCTCATAAAGTACTGCAATTCAGAACCACTTTACTTTCAGTTACACAAAGAGAAAGGTCTAGTTTATTTTCTGCATGGATGCATAAAATGAGACTCCTGGAAGTTTCTTCAAGAGCGTTCAACACAGAGGTGAATGTTAGCTCAAGATGTCCAATAAAATGTAATTTTAAAAGATTCGGTGCTAAGAATGAGATATTTAAAGAGACAAAATAAAGCAAAAGTTTCCTGCTTTTCCACCAACTGCACCCACATCCATACTTTCCACCCAGATAAACGGATACCGAAGAGAAATGAAAACAAGTGTGTACTCTCTTCCATTTCTACAGAGCCCTGGAAGAGCAGAGTTAGATTCCTGCTGATTTGTTAACCACCCCTGCTTCAGAAAGTAGTGCTTGGGCCAGGTCAACATGTGCTGATCAAGCAGGGCCACCCTCGAAGCAATCAGCACCCGCAAGGTGTCAGATGCTGGCTGAAGGCTGCGGCCTCAGGAGTTACCCCTACATGGTAAATTAAAGGACTAGTGCCATACCCAAATCTAACAATATGACTTTTATTAAAAGCCTGAACTGCAAATAGATGATTTGCTTAAATTAAAAAAAAAAAAAAAGATTCCTGCTTTCTCTTTAAAAAAAAAAAGCCTTTTTGAAAAAGAAGAAGGAAGAGTAGAGGAAGAGTAGATAGAGAGAGAACTTGCCCCCAAGGGCCTTCTTGGAGAGTTCTCTGCAGCTGCCTCTGCCCCTTCCTTGGCACCAAGGTTCTTTCATTTATCCTTATGACAACTTAAAGGGATTTGTAATTACCTCTACTTTAGAGACGAAGAGACTGACGGTCCAAGAGGTTGTCTGACTGACTTGGGTCCCACTGGCAGCATGTATTTGGGCTGACTCTTTCTGACAGAACACCCTGGCCCCTGAGCAGGTGCATTTACACTGTGGGTCAACTCATACCCCTGCAGACAGTGGTAGAAAGCACAACCCTCCTATCTCCTCTCCCACAACCTGCAACATGGGCTCTTCCCTGACCTGGCATTATCACAGATTGCAAATCACCACTGGTGATGGGAAAGGGAACAAATAGCCAGGCCGGTGTCAGACTGATTAAATGAGTCACATCAGAGAAACAACAGTGAACAAGTCGGTGAACTACTTACACACTTGCATGTGGCTTCTTTTTGGAAAAATCACAGGCAAGACCGAGATCTGATATCCTTACATGTCCGTGTTCATCCAAGAGGATATTTGCAGGCTAAACAGGAAGAGAAGATGATCTTCAGGAGTCCCCCAAATGCCACAGGGGCTTTGAGAGCATCTAAATCCATAGACACTGATTGACTGACATAGTTTGTTCCTAATCATGAATGATAGCTTCATATTATCACATCAAAGTCAGGCATGATACTGAGAACAACATTTCTGATGTTGACTGCAACTGGAAAGTGGTCATGATAGAGGCAAAGGATTCTACTCATTAGAAAATGAAACACAGGGCAGGTAACCCAGGAGGATTACGACCACACTTCATCGGAGATAACGCATCTCCTTTTCCTCGTCCCAAGAGCTCCTGTGCAGCTGTGCAGCCATGACAGCCTCTTGACAATGGCAGGTGAGTCCTCTGGCTTCTTGGCTCATGTGACTCATAAGGATTTTAGAGAATGAGGCCACGAAGCACAGCATAGAAAGGAATCTTGCAAGAATGTACAAATACTGACCTAAGAAATGAAAACTTTCAACAGTGTCACACTAATCCTGATAAATGTCATTTCTGTTTATTTGTACATCATCAACATAGGGCCTCACCAAATGACCAAATACAATTTTGACCATAACTCTTATGAAATGTATCCATTAAGATTAGATTTAGGTAGCATAATCATGGAAAACAAAGTTTCTGTTTATTTGTACATCATCAACATAGGGCCTCACCAAATGACCAAATACAATTTTGACATAACTCTTATGAAATGTATCCATTAAGATTAGATTTAGGCAGCATAATCATGGAAAACAAAGCTTCTCTCCCCCTAATATACATCAAATTACAGTCATCTTAATAATATTTTCTGCTGGAGATCAACTATTGTTTTGCTTGAAATAAAAATAATAGCACGATATTATAAAATTGAAGCATGAATAATCATGAGTGACTAGAATTAAGTTTGAATAGAAATTAAATAATACCACTGCCTACTAAATAGCTTAGAAAACAAAAATTCAGCATAAAGAAGATTAGAAACTAGTTACAGATTTAAATTAAAATGTATTACAATAGGTCTTCATGGGCCTTCAGCATGTACTTCATTCTTCTGCAAACTCACATGAGGAAATAAAATGCCACATGCTGACCAATATCTACTAATTTCTAATTTAATAAAAATATATCTTTTCTTCTTTATACTCGTATAAAATCTAAGGGAATAATTCTTTAACCTTATAGAAAGCTTTAAAATTCACAAACTATTTTGTGAGAAAAAAATGTAATTTTTACAATATTTTAGAAGGTAACCTTAAAAAGCTAATCATAACCTCTTAGCTCCTTAGAGAAAGGAATGTAACCCGTATGTTTCAGTTACCCACTGCAGTTTCATTCAAAGAGGAATCTGAAATGAGAGGCAAACACATTCTCCTGGAGGCTTCTCATCCTTCTGGCAAATTGTCACTCCTATCATTTTTCCTTTCATTATTATTTAGTCATTTATATGTTTGTACCATCATTTCTATAATTTATTATGGTCCCTTTTATCTCCATCCCTGACTTCAGACTGTTGGTCATCACAACTAGGTAAGTGTCATCATGGATGTAGTAAGCAATCTCCTAACTCCCTCTTTCATGTAGAATTCAGGACCAAGCACCACAGTGTGCAATGGGAAAACTCAGAAGAGGCCTATTTCATACTTTCAAGTCCAGTGAACCTCAACAGAGGACAAGAACAGAAACCCAAGCACAGCAATATAAGGTTATATAGTTACTGGATCTAAAAATCTATTAATGATTTTTTATGCCATCTCAAAACAATGTGAAGAGAGTGGACTTTGGAGGAAAATCTGGAGGCTGATCAGCAATCCACCCCTCACTGATCAGCCTCACCTCAGAGGAGGTGGGACTCAGCNAAGAGGCCTATTTCATACTTTCAAGTCCAGTGAACCTCAACAGAGGACAAGAACAGAAACCAAAGCACAGCAATATAAGGTTATATAGTTACTGGGTCTAAAAATCTATTAATGATTTTTTATGCCATCTCAAAACAATGTGAAGAGAGTGGACTTTGGAGGAAAATCTGTAGGCTGATCAGCAATCCACCCCTCACTGATCAGCCTCACCTCAGAGGAGGTGGGACTCAGCCATTCTGCATCTTGGTTCACCAGCTGACAAGCCTCATAAAATATATGTTCTTTGCTTGTTTATCTTTGAACCTCTCCAGCTCTTACAGAGAGTCATAGCCAAATCAGCTGCTTAGCTGAATTACAATTAATTATAAAATTAATTAACTGAATTACAATTCATTATAAAATAGGCAACAGCAAAAACTCCTTCCCTGCTTTCCATTAATTAATCAATTAAAATTTTTGACTTAGTGTTTGTGCTGCCGCAGGCACTGTCATAGGCACTGAGGTTACAATGACAACCAGGAAGGACAGGGATCTGTCCCTGCAGAGCATGGTCTACAAGAGACCAACATTACACAGCTAATGACTTTGTCAAGCTGCTAAGACAGGAGAAAAACAACAGGACTCTATGAAAGAGAAGGGGACTTCTGGAGGGCTGTTAGCACAACACCTACTATGCAGCATGAGGCTGTCACCCATCCTCACCTTCAAGTCTCTGTATACAACAAACCGATTATGCATGTGTTCCAGCCCCAGGATGATTTCAGTGGCATAAAATCGCATCTCCTTCTCTGAAAACACCCCATGCTGTGAAAGGTGATAGTGCAAATCGCCTCCTGGAATCAGAAGCAGAATGAATTCAAACATGTTAATTTACAGGAAACAAACATGGTTATCATCCCAAATAGTCAGGATGCAGTAGAAAAAGGTAAACTATGCTTCTGCTTTGTCAAAATACCTATTTTTGATTTCTGTAGTTTGGCAAAACACTTTAACCATTAGAAACATAACCATTGAGAAGTCTTAAATACAACAACGGGAGGGACGATACAACAAAACAGAGCCACCATACTCAGGTTGGCAGCTCAGCTCCCAGATACACCATCACAAGGAGGGACTAGCTAACCTGCTCTGATTTCTGAAATCCTATCTAATAACTGAAACAACCTACGGAGTGATCCACCAGATGGCTTAGCAATGGGCTCTGTGATCAGAGAAAAAATAAAAAAACAAAAACCAGTCATATGGATAGACATTTCATAAAGCATATACAGTAAATTTTTAATTGGTAAAATGCAAGTAGTGGGTATTTGGGTGTCCCAGTAAAATTATTCCAACTTTGCTATGTTTGAAATTCTTCATAATAAAATGTTGGGAAAAGCAAATAATCATACAGCCTTAAGTTACAGAGAGAAAATGCCACCAAGAGGGTAAGGGAATGCTTTTATTAACTACAAGGGAAAAGCCTCTACTGATTTATGAAAGTTAATGTGTTCAACTTTACTGCTCTTACTTTGACAGGTATCATCCCTCTCCACACACACATATTCCTGTAGAACCACCACCAGATCAAGATGTAAAAGATTTCCAGCATCCCAGAAGGCTCTCCAGTGCCCGTTCTAGTCAGTACTTGAGCCCCCAGCCCCTGGTCAGGCAAAGGTAACTCTTCTGCTCTCTCCCACCATCAGTGTTGCCTGTTCCGACAGGCACATAATCAGGATCATACAAGATATATGTTGCTGTGTCTGTCTTCTTTTCCTCATTATTATGTCCATGAAATTCCTTCATGTTTTTATATAGATCTGGTTTTAAATCAATCACT